CGCACGGCAGCTCACAAACCATTTCCGAGTGTACCCACATACCGGTAACGCGCCGCTCCCGCTGTAGACGGTGTGGGGGGAGCAGAGGGTGTACGCCCCAGAGCCTGCCTCGCTGAACTCAACTTTTCTTCTTGGGCATATGTAGGTACACTGTAAGTCGTCCACGATACATGGCTTTGGTCACAAACAATATCACGTTTGTGACCAGATCTGCTGTCAAAGCCCTAGCACAGTGATATCTCATCACTTGATGTACTCTAGCGTCTGCGAGTTTGCAGCACTTGCAGGAGAACTTTGTGTTTCAACATAAATTGCAAATTACAAAATCTATACTATGTGAAAAAAAATGGATCCTGCATTATGCAACTCTTTTATCCTATGCAGAGGTACCATGCACTTCTCTGTAATGTGTGGGTATTGGGAAACCTGTAGTTGCCCTTCAGTCTTGTCAGCGTAAATGTGTGTGTATGTGATGACTCATTCAAGGTTTCTTTTTTATTTATTTATTTTTCTTTTTCAGATTTAGTTCACTTAGAAGAGCCTATGGCTGGCCAAGAGTAAGTATGACACTGCTCTGTTAAACTGTGCTTGGTGGTAGTTTGGCAATGCAGTGAACAGGAAACTTCTGTCCTTTCAATGAATTTCTCTAACCGTTTCTTTCTGTTTGTCCAAACACATTGTACTAATGCAGGGAAGTCATTGGTTTTCTGGAAGGCCTTCTGGTCCATTTCACTAGGACTTCCCATCCGTGTCTGTGTATGTGTTGGGTATTATTGATACCTCAGGCAGCTGTGTTTTTGCTCAGAACAGAAGTCATTATGAAGACAGCATCTGTCTGTCTTTTCACTTCCTTGGAAGCAGCTTTCAAACTTTTGCTTCCCCTTTGCAGGTAGGAGCGAGTGATGTTGGCTGGTTGTGATGCTCTTAGACCTGAGCTAGCAGTCTCTGGAGATAGTCATGGGTGCAGAACATGTTGCCTTGATGTTACACGGTTCGGTACCGTGTCACGACCTGGTAAAATATTTCTAGATCCAAATTCAAATCCCACGGTGTGAGGATGTGCACACTCGGGTCAGGGGGTGTTGGCACAGGTGTAAACACGTGAAGCTCTCCTTTGTGGAGCTGGAGTGGTGTGTGTGTTGTAGCACTGGGGTATTTGTGTCGCCTCCCCAGCAGCACGGGTGGTTTCCCTGCCCGCTTTGCTTTGGGAGATTGCGTGCTGGATTCTTTCCACTCGTGTGACAGATTGTGTTCGCCTCTCTGGCCCCAGATGCCCTGAGTACTTGCAAACACAAAGATTCTGTTCAGTCTGCTTTTTGTTTACAATAAAGAGTCTTTTTTTGTATTAATTTTTAAATGTCTCTGTTGATTTCTACTTCCTGCAACTTTTGTCATTGTGCTTTACGAATCTCACCTCTTCCTGTTACCACCTGCTCAATCAGGTCTGGCCAATTTTCATACTTTTCATTGTTTCTGTTGTTTCCTCAGTGTTGTGCTGGCAGCACCGTGCAAAAAGCTTCTCATTCCTTTCTGGTCTTTTTCTAACTTCACGGCTCCAGCTGTGGGTTCTTCCATCCTCACGTGTGTTGCTTGTTCCTTTCTGCACTTGGTGAGAGTGCCTGATGGGCTGCCTGTGGGAAAGTGATGTGGGTTCCCATGCTTTACAGAGCTTTGCTTTGTTTTGGCATAGCCTCTGAACAACTATCAGTTGGTAGCCAATTTATTTCAGTTGCCCTACAAAAGAGATTTATTGACTTGCTGCTTAAGAGACTTTCTAGTCCCTCGTACAATAAAGTTGTCATCCTGTTTGACTATAAAGCCATTCAAAATGTAGACACTAAGTTTTCCTTACTGCATTAGAATAATAATTGAAATAATTGGTGATATTTTTGACCTTACTGAGTCTAAGAATGCTTAAGCTAATGCAATTTGGTAATGCTGTGGGAAGAAATAGTCCTGCCCTTCCCAGTGGCCTCCTCCTTGATCTGCCCTTTGTGCTGGTGCATGTGTTTGTACAGCCAGGTAAGACTGAGGGAATAAACTAGTTGGAGAAAGGTGAACATTTTTCATGCGGACCTCCTTTCCAAGTGGAGCACAGGGTGAACTGTGCATGTCGTGCAAGAGGAGTTTTTCATTTATTCAGATTAGTATCTGGAATTCACTACTAAAATGCCTTTTATGTTAGAATACAGATTATGTGACACTCCCAAATAATGTGACAAGTGAATTTGGGGAAATATTAGAATAAATCTATTCACATAGCTTGGTGTATGTAAGGTACAAAGCCCAGAATAAGCCTCAAAACTAGACTATCTTTTTATTTTTCTTCTTTACTTATGTGTATAGGTTAAACATAATAAATCCAAACATATGCCTTGAAGCTCCGTGAATTCTTTCTGTCAGGCAAACTGGCCAAACCAATTCCCATGTAAAGAGCACTGTATAGCAATAAATAGAAATTTAGGTTGTTTAGTAGAAGCGCTGCTTTTACCCTGAGTATTTAACCATGAAAATTCAAGATTTCATGAATTTCAGATGTTCATCTGTGAGAGGTAGTTTCCAGTAGTGCAGTGATGCTTGTTTCTATTAAGAGTAATCTTTTTCATTACTCATTACCGAATTTGCCCAAGTAGATGTAGCCAGCTCTCCTCTGATTGTAGCATGTGAACTGTAACTAGAATGTGACTTGGCCTGGTGGTTAGAAAATGGCCCTATAACTCTGTATGGCCATTGAGTCTTTCTTCTCTCTCCTAGGTTGCTATAAGGCCTGAAAAGCTGACTGGAAACAACACCAGGGTGGAGGTTACAACACTGTGGTAAGTGTGCTATTGTAAAACATGGAGAGGAGAAGCTGGGAAAGGAGTTGATATGGAATCATGAGTCCAGGAGTGAATCACTTGGTGATGAATTGTCTGCAGCTTTGTGTGGGAAGATTAAAGTTTTGAGAAGTATAAAAGAGGAGAAGGTGGTAGCTGGTAGCATGTTCTTCCTCATGGTGGAGGAAAGGAATTTGCGTGCAGAGTATGAAGACAGGTTCTTGATGCTTCACGTTTTCATACAGAAAAACACACTAATTGTTCCTCACCATGTGGTTGCTAATTATAGCATTCTTGTTTTCATTACTGCTCAAGTGGAAATTGGGGAGAAATGCCATGTTTTCCATTAATAGTATACAAATTTATTGATGAAATCAAAGCTGGGAGTTTGCTATCCATGACACTATGCAGCTTTTACTAATTAACTTCATTAATTTGCAAGAATGTAATGGTAGTAATAGTTTGGAGAAAGGAAAGATTTTTAGTCTTGTTGCAACTTATCTTACTATGATAGAACTAATAGAATGTATTTCTAATGAGGTTAATTATTACTTTTTTTCCTTGTAAAGTGGCTTTCTAGAAGATGACCATAGAGGATCTCCCAGAACCTTCCTTAGAAGGAGATTGCCTCATTGAAAGAGAAAGGTTCTTATTCCCAAACTCTGAAACATCTGTTACTTTCTCTGTTGCTGCAGCACCAATGCCTTCAGACTGTGGTATGTACTTTTAACAGAAAATGAATTCATGATCATCAGAGAATAAATTTGAATAATAAATTTTAAGGAAAGCTATCAACTGTTAATCTATCCCTTCTTTTCAGAACAACTTCATTATTGTTAAATGAATTCTGTTATTTTTTTAAAGAAGTAAAAGACAAAGACCCATGCTTTTTCTATTTTTCTTCTTGTATACATTTAAAATTATAATATATTTTCTTTCTTACTGTTTCTTCTGTGTGTATGTGTGGTCAGAGGTTTGTAGGTTTTCTACATTTCAATGTAGAACTGCATAGTGTATGGAGACATGAAATTGGAGTAATGAAATGTAGTTAAGCATCTACATCACATTTAAAGCCACTAGAGTTACATTTTTTTCTTGCACTTTCAGTCTGTAAGAAATAGACTATAGGGGGATGTTTTGGTTGGAAATGTAGATATAATTATAATGTAATATTTTAAACAAAATATATAATATATTAGAATGCTACTGTAAGGAAAGATCTTCTTAGATATTTACAGTTATAATACCTCTGAATTAATAGTATCTATACACCTTAAAAATTACTTCCTCCACGTGTGAGTGCCGTAATCTGTGCTTGGGAAGGATAGAGGTGGAGAAAGTAATGTTTTAAAATATCTAGATGCCATTGTCATCCTTTTGTGGAACTTTTTGTTTTAATAGGGTTTCTGTAACATTTCTTAGGTTTGTGAACATTACAGCTGGTCACCTGTTAAGCACTTATGATAGCTTTTATTAGTATTTCATATATTCTCAGGTTTTTACCCTAGAATACAGATTGTAGCAGTCTGTTAGAGTTGATTCTTGATATATAATTTGGTTCCAGTTTGTAGCTAGAAATCTTCCTGGTAGACTGAGTTGTGCGTGTTGTGTAAGATCGTTAATCTTGTTGGCTGGTTGTCTGTTTTCTTCATAGTCTTCAGCAATAGATCAGCTGTGGTTTATGTAGAAGTTAGATATGAGTAGATAAATCAGTAGGTCCATGTCTCAATGCATGGGGTGCAGGTAACAAGCACAGTTTGTGTAGTGCTGGGAGATGTGGGGTTTGCTCTTTTTATATATGTTATGGGTACACGTGTAGAAATAAGAATTCATGCTAAATATCATCAAAGTCATCCTCCTTTCTCATTCTTGTTGAACTGAGGCAATGCAGCTAGAGGAAGTCTAGGTAGCCAGGAACAAGCTCCGTAGGTGCTTTTATCTGTTAATCCAATCTAGAGGTGGGTACACTCTTCTTGAGGGAAGGTTATGATGATTCATGCTGAGGTATTTCGTACCATGTCACACACCCAGATGGCTGATGCTCTATTTTACTCACCCTGGGTGTCTGTTCTGAGAGCCTTGTATCTGTGACTGATGCAAGCTGATGCTGGGCATTTATTTGAAACCTTTCTAAAAGGCAGCTGTCTGAAAGCTGCAGTGAGGGTAAAAGTTCAGTGTTTTCCATGATGCAGTTGTCTGCTGCTGATGGTAGGTTCTGCTTCCATTCCTAATAGACATTGCTATCCAGGTTCTTTCATGTAGTTTTCCAGAGTTGGAAGAAATTTCACAAATTTACAATGCAGTATGTGTGTATACATGCACACACATACACCTCTAAGTAATGTGAAATGTCATGCTTCAGTAATAAGGTGGGTTTTACACCCCTACTTTGGGCTGCCTGAAGCGAAATCTTAAAAATACATCTCTTTTCTGATCTTTGTTTGGTGGCTTAATTTTTAAAGATGTTTGTTACCTGCAGCTGCCCCCAGCTGGAATTGATGCATTCATGAAATACCTGAAAATAATGGAGGCCATAGAATGCCTTCCTGAATTGTGCATGTGTTTATATTTGGTATGATTTATGTAAGTTGTGATGGAAGAAGGAGGAAAAAGATGTGTTTTGTAGCATATGGAGGACTCGTGTACGCATTTAGTCACGGAGAGATCACGAGGCTTGCCTGTGCTCCCATGGGAACAGCTCAGAATCAGCACTTTTTGGCTAGTATGAAGCAAGAGTAAACCCTTATTAGCATAATTACTGCACATCTCTGATAGCTGCTGCCTAAACTTAAAACCAGTCTTGCAGTACCATTGCGTTGGTTACCGATTCAAAGCTTTTTTAGAAGTATAAATGAGACTTTTAAAGGAAAAGTAGACCAGATATTAAAGAAAATTTTCTAAATTAATTCAACATTCTGAGTTTCCAGTGTCATTAGTAGTGAAGTGACTTTCTCTGCTATTATTTGCCTCTTAGTCTGAAAAACTAGGTGCACATTAAAACTTAAAATTGTATCTTATGATGCCTTTTTCTCTTGACAGAGTTTTCCTTCTTCGACCCTAATGATGCAGCATGCCAAGAAATACTTTTTGACCCCAAAACATCAGTTTCTGAATTGTTTGCTATTTTAAGGCAATGGGTTCCACAGGTCCAGCAGAACATTGATATTATTGGGAATGAGGTGAGGCAGAAATAAAGAATGCCTTGCATGCTTTCAGTGTTAAAGAAAAATTGTGTTGACAGCAAACAAAACCAGTTCATTCAGAAGCACAACTAATCATAGACACAGATACAGTTTCTGCCTTTTAACAAGTGGTCACTGATCAGTGCTTTGCATTCTCCATGTTGTCAGCTTTCATTTGGAAAGACAAAGATGATGGATAAAAATTCTGTACATTTGGATAGATGGTAGAAACAATGTTTCTTCTCAAATCGGTGGTTTAGAGACCCTTCACCTTGGTGTTTCAGTTTCCTACTTAGCAGTAATCATAAACTCTTAATACATGAAGTTACATGAGGCCTGACCTTAAAGGGCAATGTTTCCAAGGCACTAAATGAGTTAGGAACTGAAATATCTTTGCAACCTGCAATAGGCTGCTTTCAGACACGTATTTTCCAGTAATTCCATCCTACTTTCTCAATTTTCTTTTGCATTACAGGCTTTTTTAGGCAAATTGGAAGTGTAGTAAAGATTCGTCCTACCATAGTGTAACTGAGTTTTTTTTGGGGGTGGAAGATTGTTAGGAGGTCAAAGAGCAAGGGGAGACACTTCATAAATAGTGTCATTTTCCTATTCTGTTAAATGGTTAACTTTTCAGCATGTGAAACGTGTTAGAAGTAATAATATAAGAAGCTTTAAAATCTCTAAGCAGTGAAGGTTAATGATATTTATATAATACTTTTAATTCCATTTGTGCCTGTATTTCAGTTCTGCAGTTACAGTCTATTCTGGCAGGCTTCTTTGTTATTAGCCATCAAAATGAATCCAGGAGTCAATATATCTGAAATAACTTGCTAAATAATATTTATGTCAGGGATCTGGCAGAGCTAAAATGTGCTTGTTTTCCACTTGTCTTTCAGATCATTAAAAGGGGTTGTAATGTGAATGACAGAGATGGGCTGACTGATATGACTCTCCTGCATTACACTTGCAAATCAGGGGCTCATGGTATTGGTGAGTAAAGAAACATCATTATAGATGTGAAAAACCTAATTAATTCACAAAGAGTAATCCCACCAACTGTTAGATTGCAATAGATTTCTTTTTTTTTTTTTTTTTTTTAGTGCTTGGTTTTGGCTCTTCTAGTGGGCAGAAGAAAAGAAATGTAGTGCAGTTATGTCTTGTGGCAGCTGGGAGTAAGCTGAGTCAGTGGCATAGGCATTGCAAACAATCGTACCAACCTAAACATGTATTTAATGTAGCCAAGGCTGTTTCAGACTGAGGTACAAGCTGCAAACTAAGCTATTAACAGTTTTCTTACATCAGTGAAACCAGTGACTGGCTGTTCTTTTTTGTTTGTTTGTTCTTTCGCCCTGATCGTGTCAGAAGAAAACAGTAATCTTTGTTGTGTTATTATGGCCATAAGTAGTGGAAATAAGACCATATTTAACTCTATTTGAACATCCCTGTTATCTTTTCTGTGTTGTGCTACTTTTTTGCTGGCCTGAACCCAGTTCTCTGAATTTGAACTAAATTTCTGAGTGAGGTCTGGCATAGGGCTTTTCTGGTGGTGACAGGTCTTTTAATATAAACTTCAGCATTATGGAGTCTATTTTATTTTTATCAGATAATAAAATCCCTGGTTTTGATGGATGACATATTATTTAGAGATAAATAGGTAGTGTTATTATATACCATAGTAGAGATTTCAGCCCTCTTCAATAAAAAGCAAGGATTTTTTCATCCTAAAAAGACAGACATAGTAACTGTTGTGCTGTGAGCTTTAAAGATTTAACGTACACTATGTTACACATCAGTATGCACATATTTTGAGGTAAAATAAATCTCTAATCCCTATATTACAAAATCTACCTTTCAGGTGATGTTGAAACTGCTGTAAAATTTGCGACTCAGCTCCTGGATTTGGGTGCTGACAGCAGCTTACGCAGCCGCTGGACAAACATGAATGCCTTGCATTATGCTGCCTACTTTGATGTTCCAGAACTTATTAGTCTAATTTTGAAAAATGCTAAGCCAAAAGGTAGGCATTGATACTTTTGTTTCATGTGGTTGTCCAACTCTGACTCTAAGTTGGTGTGTAGTGCTCTTTGAGTGTGGGTTTGTTTATCCATTATCCATAAATAATTTCTGATTTCCTATTCTTTTAGTAAACTTCATTGGTTCATTTTTCTCTTAAATGGTTTTTTGGTGGTTTAAGGCACTGGTTCCATTGCTGGTTTTTAACCTTGAGCTTTCTACAAGATGGTAGAGAAGTATTTATGAGAATGGACTGCAATCAGGTTCATTCCGAGTTGTTGAGGACTAGAAGGATTTATGCAGAAATCAAAGATTTAACTATTCTGGTGAATTCTTAGAGTTTTTAAGACTCCTTGAGAAGTATGTTTGAAATGCTGTGAGAAGAGTAAAGGAGAAATGGGGATTGGGCAACGTCATCTGGCAAACTAGTAACTGAAGCAACTTTGCCATGTTCTTTCTTCCCACTTCTTGGCTATCTAGAAGGTCATGTGTTAGGAACAGTTTGACTTCAGCATTTAGCATAAGTTGATAATACCTTGTGGAATGGTAATATTCAGGATTGGTAATTGGAGCTCTGTTTATACTAATGCAAAATTAAATGCAGAAATGGTTCTAAATCAGAACTGTTTGTTCCTATTTTGGTCAGGATATTAAAAACAGTAAGTAATTTTAATATGAAAATTGTACAAATGTTAATTTGTTCTACTGAATATCCTTCTGATTGTGCTATTTTGCAAAATGATTAATGCCCTTTTTTAACCAACTGTAGCTGAAGACTCAAAAGTCTCAAAATTCTGAAAAGCTAATAGGTTTTTGGAGTATGCAAGGCTTGCTTACCATGCCTGGGGAAAAGCATTGTGGGGGAAAAGCAGTTAAACAGTGCTGTTGTTGGTATGACATGCTTAAGAGGCAACACGTGTAGGTTGGTAACAAAAGACAAAATGGGACTGCACAGTAGTTAAGTCCACATCACATTTCAATAGTCCAATCTCCATAATTGGCTTCAGGAGATTAGATCTTCTTAAAGACCTTATTTGCATTTGGTGTTTTCATCTGCTTGTGTTCAGTGCCTACAGAAAGGGTGGGAATTGGCTTAGATTTCCAAGGAAACCACTCTAGTTAAATGCCGTGGCGGTTGGCAACTCTTGGATAAGTAGATGATTTTATACATTATCTGAGATTACAAAAAGAAAAAGAGATTTGCCCTGTGACATGAAAACAATAGGTGGTCTGAATTAATAAAATAATCTTAGCTCTATACTTCATCAGGTAGTTTGCAGAGAAGGGAGGATGTATGTAGAAGACAAGCCATGGATGGATCTGTGCTGAACTGGAGAGAAAAAATTGTTGCTAACGTGTAAATAACTTCTCAAGAAGGGTGTTCTGCTCTGAGACACCCATTGTGGAACAGCCAGTACCACAGATGTTTCCTTTTGGTTTACTGCTAGATTATTTCCTTTACAACACTCTGCAGTTAAATCAGTTAAATTCCTTATATACAGATTTACTCCTCAATTGTTAGAGCAGAATGCTGGTTTGATATTACGTTTTTAGAGGTTTTACATATAAGAATTGTTAAAGGCATAAGAATTAGAAGTGTTGTGTTGTGCCATTAGACAACAACTGTAGCCTGCATGGGTAGCTAATGAGAGACCACTGCTGCATGTTCATTTCCCCTGGATAGTTTGGGGGCAGTTACTGGGTAACATTTGATATGTTTCTTTTTGACACCTGTGCTATGCCAGCTTAGACCTAGAACAAAGCTGTAAGAAAACAGTGTTTAAAAACTCCAAGCACAAAGCTTGCAAGTCTGAGGAATTCACATCAATCTAATTAAAAATATAAATATATCTATATGTCAGGTTTTGAAATGAGAGTACATGCAACTGTTACTGCCTCAGCAGCTGATGTTAATGCTCAGTAATTCTGCATTTGGTTCCTATGTGTGCAGAAAATAGTTGATAGCCATAGTAAATGCAGAAGTTTCAATATTTGTGTACAACTACACAGCCTCTACTCAGTTTTAAACTTGTGCTGATGGTCTTTTGATATATAAAAGGCACCTCTGCAAATGTAGCTGTTGTTATTATTGTGTCATGTGAATGCAGCCTTTTTATGTGTGCCAGTTAAATTTAAAGTAGCTAAGTTTGTATTCCTATTAGTGCAACTATAAAACTTAAATTTTTATCCCACCTTTGTTATCTTTATCTCTATAAAATTCAGTCAGCCTTTATTAGTGTGTATATAAAGTTGGCATGTTTATACAGACATATGTCTTCTGTATACGTCGATGTTTTATTTGCTCCCAAAATATTTAGTGTAAATGTATAAGGGTGTTGATACAGTTGGCATATACTTTATCACATTGTAAGAAGGGCTAGTGGTTTTTGGGACAGAGACTGGTACTGGAAAATACTAGGAAACTGTACAGCCCTGAGACAGAGTTTTATGTTCCTCACCAGTATTTCGAATTGGAACATTATTGCTAATGCTTATTGGCTTTTGGTTTGTGTATTAAATCAGCTGGCACTTTCAACTGACAGCCATATACATAACTGACTCAAACTGACACCTCTCTTGTGTAGTTTAGGAGAGGAGCCAAAAGCTAAATAGACATTAAAACTCCAATATTCCAGAGCAGTAATAACTTCATAGCAGATTGAAAGATACATCGGAAACAACTGATGGAAATATGCACTCTGATGAATTTCTTCTAGTCAGATGAAGTGCTCTATTTTCCCAACTATCAGTGCAAAACCCTTCAGGGTGCAGTTCTCTGAAAACAGAGAATTTCTAAAAATCACTAGCTCTTGCTTTGTTCTTGGCCATTAGTAATTAAATCAATGTAAAGCAGAGATATAATATGTTTTGCCTTGCCTCACTACCTGCTCACAAAGGAAAACAACTGGTTGAAGATGCATCTCATTTTAATGTTTGACACTGAGAAGCAATAAAGTGTAACTGTTTCTGAAACACTAATTTACACACGAACCTAAAGTTACTAACTTTTGTAACTTAATGCAGTAGTTTGAGCACCCTGAATAGCAACAACTTTGCAGTTAAGTCATCAGTACTATAAAATGAAGGAAAGTGCTCATCTTTCAGACTGGTTCATGGTATGAATAAACAGATGCAAATAAGGCTGATATTCTATGTAGAGTTACTTCTCATATGCACTTAGTACATAAATAATGGTGCCTCTGTATAAACGAGAGCATAAAATGTAAAAATAAATGTCCTGTCAAGGAGGCTGTAGGGTAGAATGTTCATGTGACAGACTTCCATGCCTCACATGTGATGTTTAATTGCAGATGTTGATGCCACCTGTAGTGATTTTGATTTTGGAACAGCTTTGCACATTGCTGCGTTTAACCTCTGTACAGGAGCTGTCAAGTGTTTACTGGAGCATGGAGCAAATCCTGCCTTTAGGGTAAGGAGTTAGGTTGTAGAGTCACCAAAAGGTGAAAAAAGTACCTGAAAAAAATGAACAGTCTGTCCAGGACTTTGATTACCTAAAAATGTCTTCCATGCATGGAGTGATAATGCCTCAGAAAAATTATTGAATAATTGTAATGGATGATTTTGTATGCTTTGTCATACCTGTGTGTTGAAGTTTGTGCCTCTGTGTCACAGTCTGGGTCATTATTTCAAATTGCTTTCACCAGGTTCTTTTATTTGGTGTTTGAACTTTCATTTGTTACTTCTTAGTATACTTGTATACTTGATACTCCTTTGTACCTTGCAAGAGATGGCAG